GCAAACATCGGCTCTTTTCCCTGGGAAAGAAAACTCACCAGTCCAGGTTCCTGATGTCAGTTTGTAGGGCTCTTTTTGGACTCTCAGGGCAGCACAAGTATGGGGTGGGGGCAGCTCCTGTCTGGGACTTATCCTTCGATGTTCGGATTTTTTGCGGTCAGCTGCCGGCTCAGGGCCACAGGAGTCGGAGCGCAAACATCGGCTCTTTTCCCTGGGAAAAAAAACTCACCAGTCCAGGTTCCTGATGTCAGTTTGTAGAGCTCTTTTTGGACTGTCAGGGCAGCAGAAGTATGAGGTGGGGGCAGCTCCTGTCTGGGACTTATCCTTCGATGTTCGGATTTTTTGCAGTCAGCTGCCGGCTCAGGGCCACAGGACTCGGAGCGCAAACATCGGCTCTTTTCCCTGGGAAAGAAAACTCACCAGTCCAGGTTCCTGATGTCAGTTTGTAGGGCTCCCCTGGGACTGTCAGGGCAGCACAAATTTGTTCTCTTGGCCCAGTGGCCCTGATCGGGCAGCTGATTGCAAAAAATCCAAACATCGAATGATTTTTATTTTTTTTTCTTTTTTTTTTTAGGCCAAAAGAAATCATACATTCTAAACAGGAACTTCCTCAAAATCAAGCGTTTCAGTAAACCAAAAAAACTGTAACATATTTTAAATAAGTATTAAAAGGCCAGAAAATGTAAAACAATTCGGCAACCCACAACTGTCTAGAACTATCTACAATAAACCTTCTTTTAAAAAACCCAACAAATACCCCCTACTACCTCAGCAATGTATCACCAGCAACACCAAACGAGTCAAAATACTTCAACTCCCATTTAAAAAATGCTCTATAAACTGAAACACTACAAGTCATCTACAAAATACACTCACCCTTCAACAACCTCCTCTAACCTATACACGAATCTAAAATAAATAAGAATTAACTATAAACTATCATACCTTAAATAACTCCACCATTAAACACTACTGTACCAAACTTATTAAAACTCCAATACAAACTAAAAGCAAAAACCACAAAATAACACACTACTGTTAACATTACCAATGTATTTTTCCTCCATTCCTCTAACAACTAAATACAAACCTCAATTTACCTTCACTTGAAAAACATACAATACACCTACAACCAACTACCCCAAAAATAAAAACAGTCCTACCATCTAGCATAGATTCATCCAAATGAAACTTAAAAAATAAAACTCCAAATCATCTGTAATAATCCAACAACATTAGATGAAAAGTATAACAAAAATATTTTTTTAAATCATCCAAGTTCTTCTAAAATACTATTACACCACAAAAAAAAAAGCGCAAAATCAAAAAGCATACTGAAAAATCCAGTTCCTAAAAATAAAATAACAAAAGAAACATCAAATTCCCACCAATTTCATCAAAAAAAGTCAGAATGGCTCCATGAGCCATCAAAAAAAACCACAACATATATGAAAATGCCAAACCACCTCGAACACAAACAATAAAACACAGCCCCTCTTACCATGGTATTATTTTAATATTATGATTAAAATACACATTCTATACAAAAATGTCCTCTACCCTGCCATCAATTCCACATAAAGCAAATAAATTAACTCTTATCATACAGGACATCCATATCAAAAAACTCAATTGCCCTAAAACCTTGAAAATAATTACAAATTAACCCCAAAAAAAAACTTTAATCTCTAACAAAAGAAACCCAAAACAAAAAAACACAAACTAAAAATACACCACCACAGAACCAACTACCAGCAAAAAAAAACCCCACACTACACTCTTTCCACTAGCAGTTGTTAGTGAGACATCACAAAAATGAAACAAAAATAAAAAACAGCCCACAGGAACCAAAACACATATAGAAAACAAATCACAAAACCCACTAGAAAAAGTCCAACCAGCTTACTAAACTTCAAACCACACAACGGACCCTGAAAGCTACTAAAAATGAAAACCATACCTCTACACTAACTCCAAGAGTAACCTGTACTGTGCTAAGTTAACTTTAAAAACCAAAGTCATAAATGATACTAAAAAAATCTAAACCATTAGACAATAAAAAGATAAGTACCCAAATAAAAAACTACCTAAAAAAATCCACAATACAAATACACAAGTTCCTAAAAAAAAACCACTAATAAAAAGCAACCAACAAATACATCAAACTAAAACAAAAACCCAAATAAATAAACTTAAATTAACTGCAAAAAAAATTATTCCTAACTCAATAAACCCCTAATGCCTCAAACCATCAAAATACAAATAGTAGCTGGAAATAAACACATCACCAAAAGATAAATGTAACCATAAACAACAGCTCCCAAATTACCGGTAACAATAAAATATTCACGACAATTAAACAAACCAAATGAATAAAACCTCTATAACAGAATAAACAAGAAGGCAATTATCAAATAAAAAAAACCCCAACCTTACTAATTAACTACAGGACATTACTTTAAACCCACCAAAACAAACACTACACTCTCACTTCAACGAGGGCAAAGAAATGTGGGCTCCCCTTCCATTGCATCCCCCAGAAGAGCAAAAACGAAGGGGCTTGCCTCAAATGAGGGCAACAGGGAGAATTTTACCTCAATCCAAACCCTTAAAAGGAGGGACAACAGGGCAGCCCCCTCATTTCAACCTCAGGATGATGAAATTCAAAAGGGAAAGGAGAAAATTCCCCACTACAAAGGCACATCGGCTCACCTGTTTGGCTGCTGCTTCTCGGCACAAAGGTTTGTCCCTCGGCAGCTCCTTTGAGCAATGCTCCACATATCCAAGTGCGCATCCAAATGATTCCCCAAATCCTTTCCAAAGCACTCACCGTCCCTCCATGAGACAGCCCCGGGAGCCCCCCATAAACTCCTCTTCTCCAGCAGCTCCGTGCAAAAGTGATGTGAGGAAAACCCCCTAACTAAATCAGCCCCCGTAGGAACCGCCCCCTTCTCATCATCCTCACAGCTTACACCTGGGGCTACTCTGAGCCCTCATCATCATCCTTACAGCTTACACCTGGGGCTACTCTGAGCCCTCATCATCCTCATAGCTCACACCTGGGGCTGCTCTGAGCCCTCCTCATCATCCTTACAGCTCACACCTGGGGCTGCTCTGAGCCCTCATCATCCTCATAGCTCACACCTGGGGCTGCTCTGAGCCCTCATCATCCTCATAGCTCACACCTGGGGCTGCTCTGAGCCCTCATCATCCTTACAGCTCACACCTGGGGCTGCTCTGAGCCCTCCTCATCCCCACAGCTCACACCTGGGGCTACTCTGAGCCTTTATCATCCTTACAGCTCACACCTGGGGCTGCTCTGAGCCCTCATCATCCTTACAGCTCACACCTGGGGCTGCTCTGAGCCCTCCTCATCCTCACAGCTCACACCTGGGGCTGCTCTGAGCCCTCCTCATCCTCACAGTTCACACCTGGTGCTGTTGCCACTCTCCAACAGCGTCTCTCCCTCTCCAGGATACAGCCCACTTCTCACAGATACAGATCAAACAGAAATCTGCTACGGGTGTTGGTTTTTCTTAATCCATCTGGTTACACGGTTAAAACACATACATGCATTGATGGTCATTGAGAGAAAGCTTTCCCCTGGAGAAAATAGTCCTGTTGGTAGCACACTTCGATACACCTTCGGAAAAAGCAGAATCAGCACCAACTCCTAAGACCCCTGCCGAGGAACCCGGCCCTCCTTGGGACACCCAAAGCAGCAGACCTCGGAAAAGGAGGGGAAAAGTCACAGTTGGAGTGGAAAAAGAGAACATAAATACAGCAGCCTTTAAAAGTGCCTGCATGGAGCAATAGTGGGAACCAGTCACATTTCTTCTTTCCTTGCTTTCTGTGATGACATAAATAGGAAGTAAAAACACGTTAAACAAAAGGCAGAGCTAGGATTTTACAGGTCTTTATTTTGGCAGGCTGCATGAAAAACATCTCCTCCAGGACTGTGACGCGTTTTGGGGAACAGCAGAGAACGGAGACAAAAGGTGCCGGAGAGCCCTTTCTGTTCCCTTCAGCCCCTGCAGCTGCTCCAGTGGTTTCAGGGCACTTGCTTGGTTCATTCCTAGAGAAAAAGGCTAGGGCGTGATTTTCAAAACTACTGCCCATCCCCAGTCAGAGTTTCCTACACTCCTGGGTACAAAGGAGTGGATAGAGAGAGGATTTTTCCAAATGAGTTTAGCGATAGATTCTTATTCAAGATAAATGTGGAGAAATCCTGGAGAAACGTGGAGAAATCTGAAATGTGGAGAAATCCTGGAGAAATGTGAAGAAATCCTCTGAAATCCTGGAAAAATCCTGGAGAAATGTGGAGAAATCCTCTGAAATCCTGGAGAAATGTGGAGAAATCCTGGAGAAATGTGGAGAAATCCTGGAGAAATGTGGAGAAATCCTCTGAAATCCTGGAGAAATCCTGGAGAAATGTGGAGAAATCCTGCAAAGCCGGCAGGTTCAGGAGGGACGAACTGGGACAAACTGGGACCAGCTGCCCCCTCCCCTTCTCCCTGCCTCTCCTGGTTTAGGGTGATTTTGGGAGAAAAACCTCCAAAGGGGCTTCCCCTAGAAAAACAAATCCAAGCGGCCCCTCCCCTCAAAAAGATTTCCCTGGAGAAAAGTGGGGAAAAACTGGTTGTTATCGGTACATTTAATTAGTGACCCGAATTTATCTGTTATCAATAATTTTTATTAGTGGCCGCCCGGAGCCGGGTTTGCCCACAATGGTGTTCGTGTGGGGTTTGAGGGGGTGTTGGCAGGAAGGATTTTTGGGGTGTATCGGGGAAACTCCCAGCGAGGAGGATTTGGGGGAGCTGAGGGTTCTGGGGAGGGATTTGGGGGTCCCTGAGGAGTTTGGGACCCCCAAGCCAAGAGGAGACCCGAGGGGGGTTTGGGGGGGGATCTGGGGGTCTCCGGGGAGTTTTGGGAGTGTCTCAGTGGAATTTGGGGTCGCGGGGGCGTCGGGGGGAGCCGAAAGAACAGCAGGACCCCCGGGCTGGAGCGAACGGGGTTTATTGGGGGGTGGTCGCCCCGTCACAGCCCCCGCAGCAGAGGCACCCGCAGCCGCGGCGCTTCGGGGGCTGCCGGCAGCAGCGGGGCATGTCGCGACAGCGCGGGTCGCGACAGAGAGCGGCGGGGCGGGGGGGGGCGCCGCGGGAGGTGTCGCGACAGAGCGTGTCGCGACAGAACGGGTCGCGACGCGCGGCGCAGTGACAGAGCGGGTCGCGACGGAGCGGGCGGCGCTGGGCTGTGTCGCGACAGAGCCGACGGCAGCAGCATCGCGACAGCTCCGCGTCCTGCGGGGCTCCGGGCGGCTCCGGGCTCCAGGGCCGGGGGTCCCAGGGGGGCTCCGGGCTCCAGAGTTGGGGGGCGCGGGGGGACCCGGGCGGGTCTAGGGGGAGCCAGGTGGGATCTGGGGAACCCCAGAGGGGTCTTGGGACGCCCGGGGGGTCCCGGTGGGGTCTCGGGGGGTCCAGCGGGGCCCTGGGGGGCTCCGGGTCCCAGAGCTGGGGGGTCCGGGGGTGCCTGGGCAGCTCCGGGCTCCAGGGGCTGGGGTCCCACGGGGGTCTGGGGGAGTCCCACGGGGGTCGCAGGGGGACGGGGGGCGCCTTGCGGGGCTCGCGGCTCCAGAGTTGGGGGGCCCGGGAGGGTCTGGGGGGGGTTCGGGGTGGGTCCCAGGGGGGTCTTGGGGGGTCCCAGGGGGCGCGGGAGGGACCCGGGGAGTCCCAGGGGGTCTCGGTTCTCCAGATTTTGGGGGCCCGAGGGGGTCTGGGGGTGCGGGGGGCTCTCCCGGGGGGAGGGTCCGGGCTGAAGGATAGGGGGGGAATGGGGGTCCAGCCTGCATCCCCCCTCTCCTCCTCCTCCTCCTCCCCATGGGGCGGCTGTGGGAACCCCCAAAAGGGGGGGGGTGGCGGCGGGAGCCCCCCAGGACCCCCCCAGGCCTGGGGGAGCCCCCCGGGGGTCTCATCCTCATCCTCGGCTGAGCTCCATGAGAAAGGGTTCTGCGGAGAAAGGGGGACATCAGCAAAACCCCCCCGAAATCAGGGAGGGCCCCCCAAACCCCACACTCACCTCCCGCGCTCCGAGGGCTCCGAAAATGGGGCTGGGGGCGCGGGGGAGCTGCAGAGAGAGGCGGGGAGCAGTTTTAGGAGTAGATCTGGAGCAATTTGGGGGGTGCTTTTTGGAGCACTCACTGTATTGACGACACCAGGTGGGTTGGGGGTCCCAGCAGGGGCGTCCCCCGCATCCCACCGCCCCAAAATGAGCGCTGGTCCTGGGCGTCCTGGCCTCGCCTCTTCCCGGGGTGTCCCCTGACCTGCTGGAGACAACGTTTTATTTGGGGAGGGAAATATAAAGGTAAAAAAAACCCATTTGGGGTAAATGGGGGCGGTACCTGGGGGCTGGGCGGGGGTCCGGTGGGCCAGGAAGACCCCCAGGTCGGCGGGTCCCCGTCGGTGCCTCCGCAGCGCAGCCACGAGGCTGCGGCGCCGCTCGCTCACCAGGTCCCGCCCCACGAACGCCCCAAAACCCACCAGCTTCGAGGCCAGGCCGGCCACCAGCTCCTTCAGCGCCGCGCCCGAGACATCCCCGGCCTCCCCCTCCTCAATTTGGGGGGCTGGCGGGGGGATATCCCTGCTGGGAGTCAGCAGGCGCCGCACATCCAGCGATCTGACCTCGTGGTTGAAGAGGCCGCGGTGGCACAGGCGGTTCTGAGTGATCACCACGGGTTTTGGGGGGCGCAGGGGGCTCCCCAGGGCGAGACCCCCGCGCATGGGGGGCTGCAGCCAGCGCAGGGGGGCGGCGGGGCCACGCCGGGAGCCCCTCACGGGCAGCTTGGGGCCGAACTTGGCGGCGTTGCGCTCCCGCTTGGTCCGCAGGCGCTTGGATTTCAGCGGGATTTTGGCCGGGACGGCGAGGGGGCGGCTGTCGCCCAGCAGATCTCGGGGGTGGCTCATGGTGGCGGCGGCGGCAGCTGGGAAAAAGATGGGAAAAAGACGGTTTTTGAAGAGTTTTTCACCTTCAGGTGCCGCCCGCCTCCTCCAAGTATCCCCACTCCCCCCATGGAACCTCTTGGTACTCGTAGGACTCTAAAAAAGAAAAAAAAAAAAATCACACCCCACACCCCAGGACTTCACAATTGTTCCCCAGATTCCCCCCATTCCCACCTCAAAACCCCTCGTTTCCCCCTCAGATACCCCCCAAAATCCCCAATACCCCCTGAAGGGCTCTCAGACCCCATTCCAACCCCCATTTCCCCCTCAGATCTCCTCCCTACAGGTTTTTGAGGAGTTTTTTTCCCCTTCAGGTCCCACCCCAGGATCCCCATTCCCCAGGACCCAGAGTTCCCCTCAAAACCCCTCATTTCCCCCACATTTCCCCCTCAGAGCTCCTCCCGACAGGTTTTTGAGGAGTTTTATCCCCTTCAGGTCCCGCCCCAGGATCCCCATTCCCCCCATGGGACCATTTGATCCTCACAGGACCGTAACTCACCCCACACCCCAGGACCTCACAACTGTTCCCCAGAGCCCTTCATTTCCACTTCAGAACCCCTCATTTCCCCTCATATATACCCCAATACCCCCTGAAAGGCCCTCAGGGCCCATTAACTCCCATTTTCCCCTCAGGAACCCCCATTCCCCTCTAGGCTCCCCTGGTAACCCTTCGGGCCCAGAGTTCCCCTCAGAACCCCCCTCAGAACCCCTCGTTTCCCCCTCAGATACCCCCAGGCTGCCCTGAAAGGCCCTCAGGCCCCATTAACTCCCATTTTCCCCTCAGGACCCCCCATTCCCCTCTAGGCTCCCCTGGTAACCCTTTGGGCCCAGAGTTCCCCTCAGAGCCCCTCATTTCCCCCTCAGATACCCCAAGGCCGCACTGAAAGGCCCTCAGGCCTCATTCCAACCCCCATTCCCCCTCAGATCTAACCCCAGAGCCCCTCCATTCCTCTCCAGAACCCGTATTTCCCTTCAGCACTCCCAAATTTCCCAAATTTCCCCATTTTTCCCCCAATTCCCCCCCCCCCTCACGGTGGGCAAGGCCAGAGCCGGCGGCCGTTGGTGGCTTGAATTTTCCCGCGCTTCGCTGCGATTGGCCCGCGGGCCCCAGAGCTCGACCGCTGATTGGCTGAGGGCGCGGAGGCGGGAAAGGCGCTGCGAGGGAGGAGCGGGGCCCCCGTGAGGGGAGGGGGGGGGGCGGCTCTGAGGGGAATTGGGAAAAAGGAGGGAAAAAAGGGAAAAAATAAAAAATTCGAAGGAAAAACGCGGGCAAAACGGGAGAAAGGGGGAGCAGTGAGGGAAATTTGGGATAACTGAGAGGGAATTGTGGGGAAATGGCCGAAGTGGGGGAAAATGGGAGGAGAACTGAGAGAATGGGAAATAATGGGGGAAATAGGGGAAAAATGGGGGAATGGGGGGTGTGAAAAACGCCAATCACTTGGTTTTTAAAATTTTTAAAGTTTAATAAAAATAAAATTATTATAAAAATAGTAACACAATTAGAGTAATAAAGTTTAGAGATTTCCTGCAATTTTTGAGATTTCACCCCAATTTTTTGGTTTTCACCCCAATTTTTAATTCTTTCACCGTGATTTTTGGGGATTTCACCCCAATTTTTTTGAGATTTCTCCTCAATTTCTGACGATTTCACCCCAATTTTTTTTTCAGATTGAATCTTAACTTTTTAAGATTACCCCCAATTTTTTTTTAATTTTCACCCAATTTTTTTTAATTTTCCCACATTTTTTGAACAATTCCCCCCATTTTTTTTACAATTTCCCCCATTTTTTGACAATTTTCCCCAGTATTTTAAAATTTTCCCCCCAATTTTTTTTTAATTCCCCCCATTTTTTTTTTTTTTAACAATTTCACCCATTTTTTACCGATTTCGCCCCAAATTTCACCGCAATGTTAAGAATTTTTTTGTGTCCCCTCCCCCATCCCCCCGGGACCTTCCCGACCTTTCCCCTGCCCCTCCCCCACCCCCATTGGACCCTGCCCCTCCCCCGCCCGGCCACGTCGTGTCCCAAGTCCAGAGGGTGGGGGAGGGGCGGGGGGGGTGGGGGAGGGGCGGGGGGGTGAGAGAGGGGGGGACTATTCCCCTCCCCCTCCCCCACCCCAAATCTCCTCCCCCACCCCTTTGACCCCCCCCCCAAAATCGGGGTGGGGGGGAGAGGATTTGGGGCTTTTTTTGGGGTTTTCCCCAAATTTTTTTGGGGGGGGAGAGGGTCAGGGTGGGGGAGGGTCAGGGCGAAGGTCGCCTTGGCCCCGCCCCCCGCCCCGCCCCCACCCGGGGATATTTAGGGGTCCCCAATTTCGGGGGGGGAGGGGACGGAGCTTGAGGGACCCCAGAGGTGAGGGGGGGTGGGGGAAGGGACTTGGGGACATTTTGGGGACATTTGGGGGGGATTTGGGACAATTTAGGGACATTTCCTGGCAATTTAGGAACATTTTGGGGGTTTTGGAGACATTTTTGTGACAATTTGGGGACATTTCCTGACAATCTGGGGGGTTGGGGGACAATTTGGGGACAGTTTGGGAGGGTTCTGGACAATTTTGGGACATTTTGAGGGGTTTGAGGACTTTTTTGGGGGGTTTGGGGACAATTTGGGGGTTCTGGGGACATTTATGGAAAAATTTGGGGCTATTTCTTGATAATTTAGGGACAATTTGGGGGGTTTGGGTCAATTTGGGGACATTTTGGGGGTTTTGGATCTATTTGGGGACAATCTGGGGGGTTTGGGGACACGTTGTTGACATTTTGGGGCTATTTGGTGACACTTGGGGACATTTTAGAGGTTTTCGGGGGCATTTGGTGACATTTTGGGGCCGTCCCCGCAGGTGACACCATGAAGTTCTGGGTGGCGTTGGTGGCGCTGACGCTGCTGGCAGGTGAGTGCCCGTGCCCCATGCTGGGCTTTGGGAATTTTGGGAATTTTTTTAGGAATTTTTCAGGGATCTTGGTGGGGGGGGGGCGGTTTTCGAGGGAATTTTGAGGAATCTTTTCATGAATTTATGAGGGATTTTTGACAGAGTTGAGGGATTTTTTTTGATGGAGTTTTGAGGAATATTTTAAGGGATTTTGGAAATATTTGAGGATTTTTAAACGGATTTCTTAATGCTTTTTTTTTGAGGGATTCTTGGGGGATTTTTTTAGGGATTTCTGGGAATTGTTAAAGGGAATTTTAAAGAATTTTTGAGGTATTTTGGGCATTTTTAATGGATTTCAGACAAATTTCGGCCAAAATTCAAGGCAAATTTTTTGGTTGAATTTTTGGTAAATTTGAGGTGATTTTTTAATGTATTTTGTCCGAATTTTGGCTGAATCTGATTTTTGGGGTGAATTTTTTACCACTTTTCCGCTTTTTTAAAACATATTTCGGTCAAATTTTGGCCAAATTGGAAGCGGATTTTTGGGGTAAATCCGTTTTTTTCCCCCTGCAGGCTGCGGGGCTGAACTGAGCGCCCCCACCCCCACCCCCCCGACCCCCCCCGCACTGCCCTCGAGGATTTGGGGGTTCCTGGGGACCCTCGGGGAGGCGGCCGAGAACGCGACCGAGCGGATCCGCCAGAGCGCCCTGGGCCAGCGGCTGCAGTGAGTGCGGGGAAACACCCAAAAGCGGGGGGAAAAGCTCAAAAAAATTGGGAAAAAAATGCCAAAAATTGGGGAAAAAAACTCCAAAAAAAATTGGGGAAAAAACCATAAACATAGGGGGAAAAAAAACCCAAATACCGGGGGGAAAGGTATCAAAAATTATGGGGAAAACCCCCAAAAATTGGGAGAACAAACTATAAAAAATTTGGGGGGAAAACCAATAAAACTTTGGGGGTAAAAACAGCCAAAACCTGGGGGGAAAATATTAAAAACTGTGGGGGGGAAATACACCAAAAATGGGGTAAAAACTCCAAAATTGGGGAAAAAACACATGGGAAATTGGGAAAAAACCCAAAATCCCTTTTTTTTTTGTCTCCACAGTGTCCCAGAATTCTCTGTTTTGCTGCCAGATGACTCAAAATTCTGTTTTTTATTCAAAAATTACTCAAAATTCCCTTTTCTCCTCCCCAAAAATACCTTTTTCTTGACCCAAAATCCCATTTTTTTTCCCCCAAAATTCCCATTTTTTCCCTCAAATGACCCAAAATTCCCTTTTTTCCCCCAGGAGCGTGGTGTCGGAGCTGCAGGCGATGCGGTTGGAGGCGCGGGCGCGCGCGGCCGAGTACGGGGCAGAGGCGCGGGCGCTGCTGGAGCTCAGCGCCGCCGATCTCCGCGCCCGCGGCGCCGCCTTCGCCAGAAAGTTCCGGAAGCGCCTGAGCCGCGACCACGAGGAGATGCAGCGACGCTGGGACAGCCTCAGGGCCCTCTGGGCACCCCAGGATTGATGGGGATCCCAAAAACGGCCCCAGGAACCCCAAAAACGGCCCCAGGAACCTCAAAAATGGCTCCGGGAACCCCAGAAACCGCCCCGGGATCCGGGAGCAGAATAAACGGGGTGGAGGAAAAGTGGAAAAGTGACTGAAAAATGGGAGGAACTGTCAAAAAAATGGATTGAAAAATTCCAAAACGGGATCAGAATGTTCCTAGAAGGGATCGGAAAACCCAAAAGTGGGTGGGATTGTCCCAAAAATGAGTCCAAGAGCCCCAAAAAGAGCCACAGGATTCCAAAAAAGGGATCAGGAACCCAAAAAGGGCCTGGAATTCTCCCAAATTGACAGAATTATCCAAAAAATGGGTGGGATTGTCACAAAAATGGGGGGGATTCTCCCTAAAAGGGCTGGAATTGTCCCAAAAATGAATTCAAGAGCCCCCAAAAGAGTCGCAGGATCCTAAAAAGGGATCAGAAACCCAAAAATGGCTGGAATTGCCCCAAAAAGGGATCAGAATGTCCCAAAAATGGGTGGAATTTTCCGAAAAATGACTCCAAGACCCCCAAAAAGAGTCACAGGATCCCAACAAGGGATCAGAAACCCAAAAATGCCCGGAATTGCCCAAAAAGGGCCGGAATTGCCCCAGAGCCTTCGGCCTCACCAGGAGATGCAGCGGCGTTGGGGCGGCCTCAGGGCCCTCTGGGCACCCCGGGACTGACGGGGACCCCAAAAACGGCCCCGGGATCCCCAAAAATGGCCCTGGGATCCCCAAAAACGGCCCCAGGAACCCCAAAAACAGCCCCGGGATCCCCAAAACCGGCCCCGGGAACCCCAAAAACAGCCCCGGGATCCCCAAAAACGGCCCCGGGAACCCCAAAAACAGCCCCGGGATCTGGGGGGAGAATAAATGGGATGGAGGAAAAGTGGAAAAGTGACTGAAAAAATGGGAGGAACTGTCAAAAAAAATGGATTGAAAAGTTCCAAAAAGAGACCAGAATTGTCCAAAAAGGGATCAGAAAACCCAAAAATGAGTCCAAGAGCCCCAGAAAGAGTCACAGGATCCCAAAAAATTATCAGAAACCCAAAAAGGGCCGGAATTATCCCAGACTGACAGAATTACCCCAAAAATGGGTGGGATTGTCCCAGAAATGGGGGGGGATTGTCCCAGAAATCGGGGGGATTGTCCCAAAAGGGGATGAAATGTCCCAAAAATGGCTGGAATTGCCCCAAAAATTGATCAGAATGTCCCAAGAATTAGTCCAAGAGCCCCAAAAAGAGACAGAGGATCTTAGAAAGGAAATCTGAAAACCCAAAATGGATCAGAATTGTCCCAAAAAAGGACAGAATTATCCCAAAAATGGGTGGAATTACCCAAAAAGGGCTGGAATTGTCCCCAGATGGGATCATAAAACCCAAAAATGGGTGGAATTGTCCCAAAAATCAGTCCAAGAGCCCCAGAAAGAGTCACAGGATCCCAAAATGGGATAAGAAAACCCAAAAAGGTCTGGAATTGTCCCAAAACAAGAACAGAAATACCACAAAAATGGGAGGGATTGCCCAAAAATGGGTGGAATTCTCCCAAAAGGACCGGATTTGTCCCAAAAAGGGCCAAAATTGTCCCAAAAAGAGCCAGAATTACCCAAAAAGGGCTGGAATTACCCCAAAAAAGAGTCCAAGAGCCCCAGAAAGTTGCAGGATCCTAAAAAGGGATCAGATAAGCCAAAAAGGGCCAGAATTGTCCCAAAAAGGGATCAGAAAACCCAAAAAGGGGCGGGAAATTACTAAAAAGGATCAGAAAGGCCCAAAAATGGAATTTTTAGGGAAATGTTTTTATTTCGGGGAATTTTTAGGGAATTTTTCCGGGATTTTGGGGGGAATTTTTTGGGCTTTTGGGGGAATTTTTCAGGGATTTGGGGAAATTTTGGGGATTTAGAGGCGTTTTTGGGGAATTTATTTCAGGATTTTTGAGGAATTTTCAGGATTTTTGGGAATTTTTTGGGAGTTGGTTTTTTTTTTTTAAATATTTTCGATTTTGAGGATTTTTGGGGGAGCATTTTTGGGAATTTTTTTTTCTTTTTTTTTTTTTGTTTTGGAATTTGGGCTCCCCTCCTCCTGCCCCTCCCCCGCCCCTCCCCCCCCTGTTTACCTGGACTTTGCCCCCACCCCAGCCCCGCCCCCCCCGCCCCCATAAATGGTGCGGCCCGGGGCGGGGGGAGGGGAAAGGAGCGGCCGCGACCATCGGTGGGTGCGCGGGGGGGGGACCCCCAAACCCCGGGGCGGGCTGGGGAGGAAATCCCGAATTTTGGGGGAGATAAGCCAAATTTTGGGGGTTTCTGAGGGGATTTTGGGGAGAAAAATCCAAAATTCGGGGGGAAAACCGCAATTCTGGGGGGAAAAATATCCCAATTTTCGGCGGGGAGGTAAAAGCCAAATTTTGGGGGGGAAATTTTGGGGATAAATTCTGGAATTTTTGGGGATAAATCCCGGGATTTTTGGGGATGGATAAATCACGGGATTTTTGGGGATGAAATCCTGGGATTTTGGCGCTGAAATCTTGGAAGTTTTGGGGATAAATCCTGGAATTTTTTGGGATGAATGCCGGGAATTTTGGGGTGAAACGCGGGGATTTTGGGGTCCCCAGGAGCAGCATGGCCCGGGCCCCCCGCGGCCGGATGGGGGCGCTGCTGCTGCTGCTGCTGCTGCTGCTGAGCGCGGGTGAGACACCCCCAAATTTGGGGACCCCCCCCCACCCAATTTCCCCCCCAAATCGCCCCCAAACCTCCCAAATCCCCCGCGAATCCCCCAAAATTCCCCCAACGCTCCAAAAATCCCCCAATCCCCCCCAAATCCTCCAAAATCCACCTCAAAACCCCAAATCTCGCCCACCCCCCCAAATCGCCCCAAACCCCAAAATTCCCCTAAATCCCTTCCAAAATCCCCCCAAAATCCTCCCCAATTCCCCCAAAACCCCCAAATCCCCCCAAACCCCCAAATCCCCCAAAATCCCCACAAACTTCCCCTAAATCCCCACAAATCGACCACAACCCCCCCAAATCCCCCCAAACTCCCAAAAATCTCCCAAAATTCCCCTCAAATCGCCACAAAATCCCCCCCAATCCCCCTCAAAACCCCCATAACTCCCCTAAATCCCCCCAAATCCCCCCCAAAAACCTCCAAATTCCCCCCAAAATCCCCCAAAACCCTCCCAAAATCCCCGGTAATTCTCCCAAAATTCCCCCAAAATCCCCTGAAATCCTCCCCAAATCCCCCCAAATTCCCCCCAAATTCCCCAAATCCCCCCCAAATCTCGGCCCCTCCCCTGCAGCCGCCGCCGCCCCTCCCCCCGGGCCCGCCCCTCCCCCCCCGGGGGCGCTGGGGCAGCTCCGGGGTTACCTGGGCCAGGTGGGCTCAGCCGCCGGGAACCTCCTGGGGGGGCTGGACCTGCCCTCGGCGCCGCAGCGCATCCGGTAAGGACCCCAAAAACACCCAAAAACACCCCAAAAATCACAGAGCCACTAAAAAAAAAAAACCCGAGAAAAAAAAAACCAAAAATGCCAAAGCCACCCAAAAAAAAACCCGAAAAAAACCCCCCAAAAATCCCAAAACCCACCCTGAAAAATAAAAAAGAAAACGAAAAAAAAAACCCAAAAATGCCAAAGCCACCCAAAAAAAAACCACACGCAAAAAATCCCCCCAAATCCAGCCCAAAACCAAAACCTGGAACAAAACCTGAAAAAAAAAATTAAAAAGAAAAAAAAATCCCCCCAAAACCCCAAATCCACCCCAAAAACAAAACCTGGGAAAAAAAAATCCCCCAAAAATTTTAAACAGTGAAAAAAATCCCCCCTAAAACCTCAAATCCACCCCAAAAACAAAACCTGAAAAAAAAACCAAAAAAATTCCCCCCAGAAAAACCAAAAAAAAAAAACACCACCAAAAAACAGCAAAAAAGCCACAAAAAAACCAAAACATCCCCTAAAAATCCCCAAATCCACTCCAAAAACAAACCCTAAAATGAACCTCAAAAAACCACCAAAAATTGTGAGTTTTCCCTGTCCATAAATGGGGTTTTCCCCCCAAACCCCCCAAATTCGCTATTTTTGGGGGGATAACCCCAAAATCAGGGTCTTTTCCCCCAAAAATCTGGATATTTTTACCCCAAAATTGGGGTTTTTTCCCAAAATCAGGGTTTTCCCCCAAAATCTGAATTTCTTCCCCTCCAAAATCTGGGGTTTTTTTCCCCCCTAAGCCCCCAAATTCCTTATTTTTGGGGAAATGACCCAAAATCGGGTTTTTTTCCCCCAGGACGGCGTACGAGCAGGGCGTGACGGCCGCGGTCACCTACAGCGGGATCCTGACGGACCAACTCTACCACTGGTGGCAGGGGGAGCAGTGACCCCAAAACTGACCCAAAAACTGACCCCAAAATTCGGGGGGACCCCAAAATCCGGGGGGAACCCAAAATAAAGGCTCTGTAACGGGAAAAAATGGGAAAAAAACAGGGTGAAAAATGAAAAAATGTGAGTGAAAAATGAAAAAAATGAGGAAAACGAGCTCAAAAATGGAAGTGGAAAAAAAGCAGAACAATCGGGATGGGAAAGGTGAAAAATGGGGTGAAAAAGGCTAAAAAAATAATGAAAATTAGCCAAAAATGGAGGTGAATAAAGGGGGAAATGGGATTGAAAAAGGGAAAAAAACGTGGTGAAAAACACCAAAAATGGGGGTGAAAAAGGGAAAATAATGAGGAGAAGTAGCCCCAAAATGGGGCTGAAAAGGGGAAAAATGGGGGTGAAACGCACCAAAATTGGGGTGAAAAAGGTTAAATTGGGGGTGAGAAAAGTCCAAGAAATGGGGGAAGGATCTGGAAAATCCGGGGGGACCCCAAAATAAAGGCGCTGCCCATGGGGGAAAGGATTTGGGGTAAAAATGGGGAAAATGGGGTTAAAAATGAAAAAAATAAGGAAAGGTAGCCCAAAGATGGAGCTGGGACCCCCCAAAGTTCACCTGGGACCCCCCAAACCCCACCTGGGACCCCCCAAACCTCACCTGTGATTCCCAAAGTTCACCTGGGACCCCCCAAACCTCACCTGGGACCCCCCAAACCCCACCTGGGACCCCCCAAACCCACCTGGGACTCCCCAAAGTCTCACCTGGGACCCCCAAACCCCACCTGGGACCCCCAACCCCACCTGGGACCCCCCAAAATCAGGCGAGGCCTTTAGAAAACACCTTTAATGGGGGGCACAGGTAATAAATAGGGGGCTCAGGTGTGGCAAGGTGTGTTCAGGTTGGCTCAGATCAGCTCGGGTGATGTTCAGGTGCACCCAGGTGTGCTCAGGTGGGCTCAGGTCAGGCTCGGGTGCCCCCAGCTGTGCCCAGGTGTGTTCAGGTGTGTTCAGGTGATCCCAGCTGTGCCGGTGTGTGCCCAGCTGTGCCCAGGTGTGCCTAGGTGCAGTTCAGCTGTTCCCAGGGGATCCCAGATGCGCCCAGGTGTGTGCCCAGGTGTGCCCAGGTGCGCTCAGGTGGGCTCAGGTGAAGCTCAGGTGATCCCAGCTGCGCTCAGGTGCACTCAGGTGAGTCTCAGCTGTGCCCAGGTGTGCCCAGGTGATCCCAGGTGTGCCCAGGTGCACTCAGGTGCACTCAGGTGTGCCCAGCTGTGCCCAGGTGTGCTCAGGTGAGTCTCAGCCGTGCCCAGGTGTGCCCAGGTGCAGTCAGGTGCGCTCAGGTGCGGCAGCAGAAGCCGCAGCCGCGGTTCCGGCAGCAGCCGCAGCAGAAGGAGCAGAGGGGGAAGTGGGGGCTGTGCCGGCGGTGCCGTGCCCAGGTGAGCGCCAGGTGAGGGGGCACAGCCTCGGCGGGGCCGGCAGGTGAGGGGACCTGGGAAACAAAAATCCAGGTGAGGTTACCTGGGAAACACAAAATCCAGGGCACCCCCAAATTCCAGGTGGGGTTACCTGTCACCCAAACCCCAGGTGAGGTCCCCCTGCCCACCTGGCGGTCACTCACCTGCCCATCCCTCACCGGGCCCGGGGTTTTCGGCTCCAGCGGCGACGCCGGGCTCACCTGGAGACAGGTGTGAACCCCCAGATCCAAGTGTGAACCCCCAAATGCGGCTGAACTCACCTGCGCCAGGTGTGTCCCCCCAGACCCAGCTGTGCCCCCCAAGGCCAGGTGAGCTCACCTGCGCCAGGTGTGTCCCCCCAGACCCAGCCGGACTCCCCAATCC